AGAAGTGTTGGGATGGGCCAGGGATTCTGAGCATGTGTCCAGTTGACCTCAAGCAGAAGAATCATACAAGCCTACTGGTAGTCTGTCACTATGTAAAGTGGTAACTAAGGCAAAGCAAGTGGGCAAGGGCCCAAGAAACAGTGAGGCTGAGGAAGATGCATCTGATACTTTTTCAAAGATGGGGTATCTATCTATTGCCACAATAATGCCATAATAAACAGCTATAAAACTTCAGTAGCATAACAATAGACATTCCTTGTTCACATATTAGGAAATAGGTAGGTGGCTCTGCTGATCTTGGCTGGAATCGTTCATATATCTGGGGGTTTGTTGGCTATCAACTAATCTAGATAGGATTCCACAAGGGTGACCAGTACAACCTGGCTCTGCTCCATGAGTTTCTCATCCTTTAGGCTAACCCAGACATGCATGTTCTTATGTCAAGAGCAGAAGCTTAAGAGTAAGTATAAATACACTAGATCTCTGAAAATGCTTGTGGCCCAGAATCAGAGTGAGGGGGTACTTCAAAGGAACCTGAAAAAGAACCATGAATACAGGAAAGAGTGAATTAGGGCCATTTTTACAGTCTATAGTACCAAAGAAAAACAAGACAACCACAGCCAAGTCATTGTTCTAACAGGTATTACTATCTTCTTTGGAGAAGAACTTGTGATTTTATCTGTACTTAGCTATAAATTAGGCTCTTATGAAGTATGTGAGTCACCTCTCTTATGTCAGCTGTGAGACAGGGGCAAATAAGTGGTTAAGATTATTCTCTGCCTCTCTCTTTTTTTCTTCTCCCTCTTAACTGTTATGTTTTGTTGGTTTGTAGAGCCAGTTAAATGCAATAGATTTTGGCTCAGGGAAGTCCAAATTTAGCCCAGAGAAATTCAACTTTGGCCCTGCTTAAATCAATTCAAGCCTTCCTCTATTTTCAGGGCCAACTTCCAAACATGAGAAATCTATTTTAACTCCATTCTTGTAAAATAAATGCTAAGTAAGCAAACCAGTTAGTTTATTTGGCTAAGACTATGAGGCTAATAAATTTCAAACCTTATATAATCCACATTCATTTTTATGAATAGCACAACATAATGGTGACCTCACTAAACCAACCCAAATCAGAAGTCCCAGATTCTAGACCAGGTTCTGCCACTAACTAGTTGCGTAACCTATTGGCAATTTACTTAACCTCTTTAGTCCTCAGTTGCCACATGTATATAATCAGGAATTGCTCTAAATTACAATAATCCAAACACCCTATTTCTAATAAGTTAATAAGTATTATGTATTGAAGTACGTTTAAGACATACTAGCTTATATAAGTTTGAAATGTTTATTTCAGGACTTTTCAGAACCTTTAATATGCCTTTTGAATCTCCAGGAGAGAAATAATAACGTGCAGCAAACTAATTTCACCAAGAACTTTTTTTTCCCCCATAAAACATGTGTCACAGTGAATATACTTTAGGAAATGTACTGTTATTTCTAGTATCCAAATGGGTGAATTTATCAGTCAGAGTCCCAAAAAGAAAAAGAAGGGGACTTAAAATGGGGACATTAGAAAAGAGTGTAATAAAATAACTATAGTATTTACAAAGGTATGGGCTGGGTTTAAGGAAAGCAACAAGGAGTAATGAACTACCCTGGGGCTAGTAAGAACTGTAAGGTATTACTACCCTTAAGTGAAAAGGCATAAAGGCAGGGAGTAGAGTCTAAACCCAGAGAGGTAACTGGGATAATTGCTTGGGAAAGGAAGGAATAGAATGGCATTCAGTAGAGGGACACAGCCAACCCATGGTGACATGGCAGGAAATGAGCCAGGGAAATAAAAACACGATTTCAGTTTCCTCTCAATTTCTAGTCCCTCACTGGCATTTCCCATTTGTTGAACCCAACCAAAAGCCAGAAGGCAAGAGAACCTACCACACAGAGCAGAGAACAGAATAGAAAAGAGTGGAGGAGCAAACAGAAGCTATTCAACACAGTAGAGCTCCATTCACAAGTAGCTAGCTCTAAGTGGTTAAATGGTGTCATCAGGACTGAGTCTCTCTTTATCTCTCCACTCTGTTTTCCTCTGCTGGCTTCATTCTAAGGCAAACTCTCTTTACCTGGCAGCACAGATACAGCAGCTCCAGGCTTTAATGATTCTTAATTAGCAATTACAAATATAAGAATAAAAAGAATAAACATATATATAGCACTTACTATATTCCAGGCACCGTTGAAAGCCCCTTACATACATTAACTCTGTTAATCCTATAAGGTAGCAACTGTATTACTCACTCTTTACAGATGGAAGAAACCGCCATATGGCTGATCAGTGGAAAAGAAAAAGCTGAGATTGGCCAGGCGCGGTGGCTCACGCCTGTAATCCTAGCACTCTGGGAGGCCGAGGCGGGCGGATTGTTTGAGCTCAGGAGTTCGAAACCAGCCTGA